AGTTCGAAAGCACCCCCGGGTGTAAGTAGATAAATAGGGACCGCTTACTAGCGGGAAGGTAAACAGCGTTCCGTGTGCTGCGCTGGCTCGCCAGATGCAGCTTGTCACGCTGGCCACGTGACCCGGAAGAGTCTGCGGACAGCGCTGGCCCCCGGCCTCTTGAGTGAGATGGGCGCACAACCCTAGAGTCTGTCAAGACTGGCCCGTATGGGCAGGGGTACCTTTACCTTTACCTTTATCAATGCTGGGTATTGTCTGGTATATTTATATGTGGAAGGCTATTTCTCTGCACACGGATGAGTGAATATGTCAGTCAAAATTAAATAGATTTATTTCAGAACAGTCCATCTTAAATGTTCACACTGGACTCTGATACTCTTCTTGTTGAATTATAATTCATGAGCATGTGTAAACTGACACGATCTAACAATGCAGTCTTATGGACTTACTCTCACATAAATGTGTGGCTAAACTTCTCCATTTTTGTATTTAAATCATGCCAAACACTTATCTGAAACTATAAGAATTAGATTTAAAAGAACTATTCTGAAATCCTCATGGTATCATTAAGGATTTGATCTAAAATTGAATATCCACCATTAACTCATGAAAGCAAACACTTTCTCAGGCTTTGTTTATCTTTTAGTGATGGTAATAAGGTTGTAGAAATAATTTAATTGAGATTGTTTAGTTAAAATCATTTCAAAATAGGTCATAAATAAAGAGGAGTTTAAAAATGAATAAAATGTGGTTTTGATTTGCCGTGGTATGGGCAGATTTTATTTTTCCTCCTTGAAAATGTGTTTTTGCCAACTGACTTCCAAAATGCACATGTTCGGCTTTGAAAAGAAAAGTGGCTAACAGTGAAAGAATATGTAAAGGTTGGAAATAAAAAAAGATTAAACCAAAATATTGAAAATAATTTAAAATGAAAAATTCTCCTCAAATGGCACAAAATAAACATCATTTTATTTATTTATTTATTTATTTATTTATTTATTTATTTATTTATTTATTTATTTATTTATTTAATTCTCCACCTCAGCAATCATTTTTGTGCTGTTAAGTGACAAAAAATAAAATAAAAGACAATGGGGGACTGACAATAAACTGTCTTATTTTGGCCCTGGCCTTTTCTTGCTGCACCTATTCCCTATATTTGAAAACAGGGTACTTTCTATCCAAGGTGAATGTTTGGATTGTCTCCCAAAGACAATGTATTGTTTTACTGGTGAATATTCTCTAAGAAATGCTGTCAGCAGTTCAACAGTGAAAAGATTTTGTAAAAATCTTGAGCATGTTACAAAAGGGACAGTGATCTTTCCATATCTAGTAACAATCATCCCTTTATTCACACTTAAAATATTCCCTGAGCAATATTGGCACATGTGTGTCAAATTGCCTCTATCAAAACTGATTATGCATTTGGCACTCTGGAGAGCTATTCTTGGTAAAAAAGAAGCCACATCACCACCATCCCACTGTCATGTAGACATATTATATGTCCTTGCAGTACTCTCAATAAACATACTGATGTGTCTAACATTCTTTCTTAATTCACTTTTTAAAACATGCATCTGCTCCCCCCTTTTTCTTTATTGTTACCTCTACACACCCACACCCACGCCCACACACCAATTTTGCTATGTTTTGTGCGTATTATATTTTCCTGCCATTTCAAAACATGTATGTTTTCTGGGTGTAAGCAACCTACTGTTTTGCCCCAACTTATTGTACAAAGTTTCTATAACCTGATAAGTATGTAACACAAACCAAAAGCCACCTTGAGTCCCAGACTGGGAGAAAGGTGGGATCTAAATAAACAAATAAAAAAATCCTAAATAAATAGATGTAATAGTAATAATAAATCATGGTTGAGCAGGGACGCGGACTTATAAAAAATATTGGGGGGGCCCGGGAAAGCTCATGAATAATAAATAAGCTCATGAATATGCAAATAAAGTGGCTCCGGCCCTAAATAGGGCAAGCCACGCCCCCCCAGCCAGCCGATTGGCTGGCTGGGAGGTGTGGCCAGTCGGGATTCCCCTGTTCTCGCGGGGGCTGAAACCGCCAGGAGGAAGGAAATTCCCCCCGGCAGTGCCTTGGCAGTGGCGGTGGTGCTGCGAAGCAGCGAGGCAGGAGCCCCCGCCCCCGGCGCCCGAGATTATTGGGGGGGCTGAGCCCCCCCAAAAAATTTTTTGAGGGGGCTCGAGCCCCCTCAAGCCCCATGGAGTCGGCGCCTATGTGGTTGAGCAAGAATGTGTGGATTCCAGAAGAAGAGATTAAGCTGCTTTGCTCTACCTCTGGTCCTGCTGTGGCTGCGCTGGGGTGAGGTAATCCATTGCTTAGCTCAGCATGGCACCCAAGTCCAGATGTATAGTTTGTTTTGCCCCAGATAAAGCATAAGCTGTAACCATGGTTTGTTCAGAGGACACCTTAAGACAAACCATGGCTTAGCACACAGCAGGAATAGTAGTAGTAAAGTGTTCAGGGGTTCACACACTCGCACTATGATAGTAATATCTACTTTGTGTGACAACAGTTTCAGTCTATTTGAGAAATGTTCCTTCTTCCTATTCTTGTTGCCTTTCAAGTTCAGTGGTTTTATCAGTATGCAGTGTCATAATTTTGCTCTCCCTCTCTCTCTTCCTTCCCCTATGGATGGCCAACTATCTCCTATCAGTTTCCTCCTAAATTCTTTCTACTCAGTCTCAGAAATTGGCCTGTGGTCCCATGGGTAACCCTCATTTTCCCCACCTCTCTTTCTCCAACAGCTCTCCATTGTTAGCTGCATTTTTCAGACCAACTATCTTTTTCTACTGTATTTGTATTTCCCAGCTATCAATAGCCTCCCTCCCATCCTCTCCTTATCATCACTTCATGACAGTTTCTATCTTTTTGTCCCAAGGAAAGGAATTTGCTCATATATAGCCCTTGTTGGGGAGGTTCTTTGGGTGTCTCTCCCTCTCCCTCCCTCTGACACACACACACACACACACACACAGAGAGAGAGAGAGAGAGAGAGCGCGCAAATTCTCCATACCCTTGAATACGCATAAATCCCTGTGTTGTGGGTGGCTGCTTCATTGCCCTACTAGTGCCTGCTGAGCCACCAAGGTTGATATTAGAGGGACTGGAGACTGAGAGTTTGGGGTATGGTTACAACGTGATTAATGCTTTCATAATATAATAAAGAAAGTTAAGCAATTGTGCAAGTTCTCATGATGTACCCCTCAGGTTACTGGCTTACTCAGGAGTACTTGCAGTCTGCAGGATCATGGCAGCAATTCAGTGTAGAGTTATGGACACTTAAGTCCATTGCTTTAAGTAGGTTTAAGCACACCTAATTCTGTGATGGATTGTGTTAGGTTTAATAGATGGTGACAATGAATGAATATGATATGGTCATTTAGTGTTGCAACTTGGATTTAGAAGTGTCTGTTTCCATATGTATTATTTGTTCCGTCCCCCCAGTGTTTTCATGTAGGAAACCTAAAATCTAAACTAGTCTTTCCCCAACTTGGCACCCTCCAGATGTTTTACCCAACAAATCTCAGCCCTAACCATTGTCCTTGCTGGCTAGGGCGAATGGGAGTTGTAATCCAAAACATCTGGAGGGCACCAGCTTGGGGAAAGCTGATCTAAGGCTGTTCTGACTTCTGTGCAAAATCCAACTGGAAGTTTTCCTTTAAACATTGAGATTGAAATGAACAGAAACAGACTAATTTCAACAGACACATGAGAATTTTCCAATAGATTATGGACACATGGAACATACTGGGATAGCTCAGTCAGTGGAGCATGAGACTCTCATAATCTCAGGGCTGTGGGTTCAAGCCCCACATTGGTCAAAGATTCCTGCATTGCAAGGGGGTTGGGCTAGATGACCCTCATGGTCCCTTCCAACTCTACGAATCTGTGGTCGGTGTGCTAATATTTTGGAAAAATTTGTTGGGGTGGGTGGGTGGGAGGCAGGGAGAGAGTTATCTTTTCAAATCTGATTTTTTCCTCTCCCCTGTTATCAGGAACCCTTTTTTCCTGTTCTCTATTTTCTCCTTAACCCCCTCACATCTTGGCTTCTACAAGATGTTACAGTGATACCTCGGGTTATATATGCATCAGGTTACATACGCTTCAGGTTACAGACTCCGCTAACCCAGAAATAGTACCTCGGGTTAAGAACTTTGCTTCAGGATGAGAACAGAAATCGTGCTCCGGCGGCGCGGCAGCAGCGGGAGGCCCCATTAGCTAAAGTGGTGCTTCCGGTTAAGAACAGTTTCTGGTTAAGAACGGACCTCCGGAACGAATTAAGTACGTAACCAGAGGTACCACTGTACTAGCAGAATGCTGCATCCATTTCAGTTTTTGTTCTATGACCACTTATGCCCAGTGCTGCTTCAACAAGGAATTAATTATGGATTAGTCATCTTCCCAAAACGTTAAGATATGTCCCTGCGGACTGGACAAAAGTGATCTTTGCTGCCACACAAAACAGCTCTATTTGGTCTTGATGTGCATGTGTTTGTGTGTTGACATCTTCAGCGGGTCATCCTGCGCCCACCAGGTGGTGGAGATTCCAGCGGGCAAAAAGTGATCACTCAATTATCTGAAATCTCTTCTTTTTAAAGCATCTACAGCCCAGCATAAGATGCTGGGCTCCAACATCATTTCCAAACTCCAGTCAAGACTGTGAATATCAGCAATACATCTGGAGGCTGTGTGTGTGCAGAGATGACATTTTATTTTACTTCTTTGCTTGCTGGTTTTGTGGTGCCGCTTGGAGGCGTTTTCCCCCTGAGTGCTTTCTATGAGGTTGCGGGAGAGAGAGGCAGAGAGAAGGAGAGAAAGAAAGAGAAAGAGAGCCCTATTCTCCTTAATGCATCTCCAGTGCGAGGGGAAGAGCCTACGGAGTTCAACTATTGCTGAACTGCTGTGATTGGCAGAGGAACTGTCCAGGAAATGGCTCAGGTTTCAACTTCGGGGGAGTGACCAGAGGAAGGAGGGGGAAGAAAGAGAGAGAGGGAGAGGGAGAGAGAGAAAGGGCTTGTAGACCTGATAAAGTTTTCGAGTTTGCTTGCAACAGGGATTCTGAATGGACTGGATCTGGACTTAAAGGCAGCTGTGCTTTTTCCTTTTTCTGAGCAACGATAACTTTTGGGAAAGCTCTCCCTAAACCTGGATCTTTAGAGAAGTGGAGAAGAGCAACAGAAAAAGAAAAATCGCGACACACTGCTTGCCTCCCTTTTCTCAACCCTGTTAGTTTTTCCTTCTCTAAATAAAAAGAGCAAACGCAGCCCCGTTCTGCTGCTCCGTCCAGCTTTTTTTAATTTTTGGAGAGGTTTGGGGGCGCCGGAAAAGAAGGCAGCGTTTGGCTCGCCAGCGGTGATGGGGGCGACGGTGGCCCAGTCTCCCCGCGCGGGTCCGGGGCTTCGCAGCGACGGGTTGGAGCGGCTGCGCGCGGAGTAAAGGCGGAGAGGCGAGATCGTGGGGCTTTTATTTTATTTTTTTACGGAGAGGTGCTCCTCTCCTTCTCCTCCTCTCCCCGCTGCGGGGAAAAAGAAGGCTGCGGGCGCCGCCGGGCTTCATCCCGCACACACGCCTGCTGCAAAGGAAGAGCGGATCGCTTACGCGGAGCCTTTTCATACCAGGTAATTGGACCAGGCTTGGCTTGCAGTGGAGAGGAGAGGGGGGCCGGGGAGGAAAGGAAAGGGGGGCGATCGGGGAAGTGAGAGAGAGGAATCCTCAGGATCTCCAGGAGTGAGGCTCCCTGGGCCACCTCCGTGCGATCGCTTTGTGCATTTGTGAAGCAACGTGTGTGCCGCTTGCGCGATCGAAATTCGCAAGAGCTTTCCCCCTGCAAAGCCGGGGCATCCCCCGGAGCCGCGACGTTGCGCAGCCTGGCATTTGGGATGTTTGCGCCGAGCGACATGTGGCAACTGCCGAGGCGTAGTAAGCGCACGCCCTCCATATTTTGCGTGGGTCTGATCCGGTGCCCCCCACAGGTGGCGTGGGGCCTGGCGCGGGTTTGGATCCACCCGAAGCGCTGGGAGCGCGGGAGCTCCTTTCCGAATGGGCGCCCGCAAGAATCCTTCCCGCTCCTCTTGCAGTTGACAGTTTGCACCCCTCTCTTCCTCCGTCGTCAGCCTCTACTTTTTAGCCCTTCGCGAGCGGCGCTTTTCGCTCAGAGGTCTTCCGTGGCGATGTGGTTTAGATGGCATGGCAGGCGAGGCTGCGGTTTAACACATGAATTTGGAAGTGCGTAAATTCCAAGGGTTCCTGGGGGCTTTGCGCCCAGGTGGAAGTGCTTAGGGTGGCAAAGGTGGTGACAAGGTTGTTGTTTCCTTTCAAGAAGCAGGCGAAGTTCAGAACCACTTCTCCTCTTCTTCTTCTCCACAGTAAAAAAAGGTTAAATAGTATTGTTATGCATATTTCATCCTCGTCTGGCGTGTTAGCCTATTGAGTTCAATAATCTGAGCAAAGGTGTACCTGCTTAAAAAACTGTTGCCAGGGCTTGGGACATTGGAAAGATGACAAGATGAACTATTGAGCATGTGCAGAGTGCCTCCCCATGCTGGCTGAGCTGCCATAAAGGACAGTTGTTCCTAGGTCAGAGGTTTTCACTTGGCAGCTGATTTTTTTTAGGCTCTAAACCCCCGCTGAGCCCCCATCCCTGTTTATATTTCCAGATAAGATGATATGCAGAATGTATTCCATAAAGAAAAGGAATCATTGTGGATTTTTTACGGTTGTAACAGGACCCAAATTGTAGAGCTATGATTTAACTGGCGTGGCATTAAAGGGCTTTTGTTTGAAGAGGGGGGGAATTGGGAGGGGATCTAGTTTATTCAGTTGCAGGAAGAAGGGGAACCGGGCTTTAGCGATGCTGAACACATCAATACCTGTAGCCTGTGCAGATTCTTTCACCTATAGTGCTGTGGAAGGACCTAGTTAGGGGGGGGAAACCCTCACCCCCCCTCCCAAAAACCCCCACATGGAATCCTTTAGTGACTGTTGCAACAATCTGTGCATATGGAGAGAAGTGATTTACATGGAGCTTAGTGGAAACGTGATGTACAAGTAACACAAACCAAAAGAACAGGAGGTCCTTTTCGTGGGGAGGTTGTGTGTGTGTGTGTGAGTGATGCGATCCATAATTTTCCTTCCTCTAAAAAAAAGGAAAAGACGAGACCCCATATATATATATATTCTGTGTATAAAACTGCCTTTCAAACAGGGGCCCATTATGTGGCTGGTGTGAAGCGCCATCAACATTTCAAACCCCATTGTCTCTTTTGTACCAAATCCCTGTAAATCTTCTACTTGCCTTTACTCATTTTCATCTGAAAAGCCTGTTTGGTTTGAATAGACTGCAATAAGCGGCCTCTGGACCTCTGTGGAATGTCAATTAAAATGCAGATTTCCCCCTCTCTCTTTCTGATCCGCAGAAGACTTGGAGAAAAACAGGCTAGTCCCCAAGAAAAGTGAATGAAGGAAGTTCAGACAAAGCAAAACTATTGATGCTGCCAGGCTGTTTTCCCCGAATAACCGTTCAGAATTAATGTTTAATAGCCGATCCCTTTGAAGATGGCAGTGTGAAGGGGTTAGTGGGGCTTCACTCTCCTCCTGCGATCAGACCCAGTCTACTGTCACTTAATTGCTATACAGCTAATTTTCTATAAGCTGGTGGAGTACATTGATCCACACTTGCACAGATTTTTTTTTTTTTTGGCTGTACTCTAAATGCCTAGGGAGGATACACAGGTCAGAGTATTGATTTGGATGACATACTCTCTGCAAATTACAACCTCCCTGGGGAGTGATAAACACTGCCCACATAACAATGGAGCTAGATTAAAATGAATACTTAGGCTTGGATTTAATTACTGCCTCTCTAGAACAAGCACAACTTGTTTGCGTGCGCATTAAAAAAAAAAAAGTAAATAAATGTGGCAGCTTGAAGGAATTTGGTAGGGCTCCAACCCCAGGCTGTTTTTTCCCATGCTTGTCAGTTTGGCAAAGACATTTGGGCAGGTATGTGACTGAGGTGAAAATTGACTTGATGAGCGGGTGGCCAGGCAAGCCATCAATCATGGGTGGCTGACAACTCCTTCCCCAGTATAGGGCAGTATAGAAGAGAGAAAAGAGTTCCCTTTCAAGGGGAAAAATAAACACTACGTGTGGCTTTCACTGAGCCTGAGACTCCAGGAGGGATTATGCTATTGTAGTCAGGAAGCCAGAATTGTGAAGGCCAAGAAGCATGCTGGGACTGTGTGCCAAACATTGAGATAGGTACATAATTACCCCAGGGTAGGAGGTCTCCCTATAAAACCATCTAGCAGTGACTATAGCAAGTAAGATAAGGGAAAGAACTGGAGTCTGGGTCCCCGCCCCTTCCACCTTCTAGAGAGGCCCATATACTTGGAGAGGTGGAAGTGGGACTCCGTAATTGGGGAGACTAATGTTCCCTGTGGAAATGATGTAGTGAGAATTATGTAATTCAGAGGCTTGTTGACGTGTAAGGGCTATATTGCTTCCAATGTCTTATAGGGAAAGAGTGAATTGTGCTCTTTAGAAATATGTCAAGTTTGACTTTCAAGTTCCTTGCCTGGTAGTTTTGTTGAAGTTAAGTGTGTTGTAAGATGTTAGTCTCACTTCTGTTACAGCTTCATAGAATAAACTCTTCTGTCTCCTCTTCTCCCACTGCTCCCCCCGAAAGCCTCATGTTATATCCCTTTTTAAAATTCTGACAGTCTATATTTCCATTAAGATAGAGTTATGGGTAACTTGTATACTCTTAGAGAGACTATGAATCCTGTAATAAGGCATCAGTAATTTGGTCTCCGTGGTTGGCTATAACCATTATGCAACTATAGAAATTAAATTTATTTAAAAGGATTGCATGCTTTTAAGCCTCCCATGCCCTTTATTGATAATATATTTCACCAGTTTCTTTAATATGTCATGTGAGGTTGACTCAGTCCCATTTTCTAGCTTTAAGTATCAAATCAACAGTGACCTTTCAAGAAAATATTGTGCACTGAAGGGTTTATTTCACCAAAGATCTTACTGGTAAAAGTTTTAAGGAATTGCATGTGCTGTTTCTGAAGCATGATGTACCTCGGGTTAAGAACTTAATTCGTTCTGGATGTCTGTTCTTAACCTGAAACTGTTCTTAACCTGAAGCACCACTTTAGCTAATGGGGCCTCCTGCTGCTGCCGCGCTGCTAGAGCACGATTTCTGTTCTCATCCTGAAGCAAAGTTCTTAACTCGAGGTAATATTTCTGGGTTAGCAGAGTCTGTAACCTGAAGCGTATGTAACCTGAAGCGTATGTAACCCGAGGTACCACTGTAATACATTAGAAAACCTAGATTGCATTTTCTCTATTGGGCAGCATACATTGTCTCAATAATTGTCCAGTTTTGGCAATTTTATGTCAGATATTGAGCTGGAAGGATTTTGCCCATAATTACTTTTTCCTGATATACCTTGAGATAACTAGTGTGGGCAGCATGATAACATACTACTTCTAGATCTTTGAATGAGCAAAGCTCTTTACATTTGCATCTTACCCCTATAGAGTCACAGTATGTGATGTAGGTTAGGTTGAGAGAAAGAAAGAGCACAGGCTAAACAAAGAGTAGTAACTGGAATTTGGGTCTCCCGCATCCAAAGGGAAGAAAGGTTCTTGAGTTATTGCTGTGCTCAGAGTGTAAGAGGGTAGCGCAGGAATGAGAGCAGAATAGGTAAAATGAGAATAGCTTTATCTATTGTTCTTTCACAGTTGACAGATAACCTCTGGAAATCCATCACTGACCATATCGCACAGAAGAGCATAATTGCCATGGCTGCTTGATTTATTTGCCTCCTAAAGTCTGGGTGCTGTGTTTGTGTGAGGGAACAAAAGAGGTTTTTGTTTGGTCCAGTTACTAAGGTGCTTCATAAATGTTGTTCTCATCCAGACCAACAGAGTTTTCGTGGGAGCTGTCGCCTTGGCTGAATTGTGTATCTCATTGGCCCTCTGATTTATCAGATTGCAGCTACTTCTCTCACACTCTGGTGCATTGAATGTGGGTGTGCACAACCCCTTCTCTTTCACAGCGCTTCTCTTTTCAAAGCGCTTTGCATACATTATCTCAATCAATCCTTACAAGGTCAGTTGGTTGGAGTGGGTGCTCCAAGGTCGCAGGTTCGATCCCTGAATGGCACAATTGCATATTCCTGCATTAAAGGGGCTTGGACTAGATGATTCTCAGGGTCACTTCTAACTCTGCAACTCTATGATTCTCTAAGTGTCCTGCTAAGTTGGTGGAGGTACACGGGTAGCGCTGTGGGTTAAACCACAAAGCCTAGGACTTTCCGATCAGAAGGTCGGCGGTTCGAATCCCCGCGACAGGGTGAGCTCCCGTTGCTCAGTCCCTGCTCCTGCCAACCTAGCAGTTCGAAAGCACACCAGTGCAAGTAGATAAATAGGTACCGCTCTGGTGGGAAGGTAAACAGTGTTTCCGTGTGCAGCTCTGGTTCGCCAGAAGTGGCTTAGTCATGCTGTTCACATGACCTGGAAGCTGTACGCCGGCTCTCTTGGCCAACAAAGCGAGATGAGCGCCGCAACCCCACAGTTGGTCACGACTGGACCTAATGGTCAGGGGTCCCTTTACCTCTAAGTTGGTGGAAGCACTGTTATGTCCATACTGCAGGTAGGGGAGTGGGGATGAAAGCATGGTGGATTGCTTGAGACCAAGGACTGAGTTTCATGGGTGAGGTGCTGCAGGTGCTCCAATAGATGCGAAAAGGAATCATGGGTAAAATTAACTCATGTTACCTGCTTCTCCTTTGGCACCTGGCTCTCCTTTACTCCATTTCCACAGCATCACTTCTTCCCGGCTTCCCCTTGCCTGGTTTAGCTTGCAAGCCTCCTGGACTGGGACTCTATCCCTTGTATGGTCTGCGCCATATGAGTGTTGAGCAATAACAGTAACAGATGTCAGCAAGATGAATCCAGAGTTCCCGATTTCAGGACAACTGCTTTTATAGACAAATGCGCATTTCAGCCCACAAATCACATACTCCAGAATGTTCAGTCTTGTAATCACTTGCTCCAGAACAGAATGCTCCGGAGTTGAATGTTTGGAAGATTTCAGACTTAATTGCATGAAAGGGCACTTTATTGTACACTTCCAAACCATGTAAGGCTAGCTCTCCCTGAACAGAGCTTTGAGTTGCTCTATCTTTATCTTGCATTGTCTGGCCGTGTGTACCTTGATAAAGAGAGAGAGAGTCTGCTCTAATTGATTCTTGGCCTTCTGCCATGCAAATTCATGGAAGGATTTGCACAGCGCAAAAATAGAATGTGGTAATTTTGTAAAACGAAACATGATGGGCCTGCACATGTATACAATTATGTTATTTGCTTAAAACAAACTTCATAGATATTTTTTGATTAAAGTAGCTCCCTTAAGCAATGTGCTGGCATCTGAAAACTCCTCAGCCCAAGAGCACGAAGAAATATTCATGTATCCTGAAGACATGGGTCCCATTAATACTTCTTTTCCTCCTCCCCAAAGGAGCAACTCCTTCCCTGTCTTTGCTGCTGCATCTCTCCAGGCAAGAGGGACAACCACACTGTTGCTTTTTCCTTCCTCTTCTTCTTAGAAACAGAGGGTGCTGCCTTCATGCTTCATAACAGATAGTCATACAACAGGTACATAGGCACATAGGAAGCTGCCTTTAACCCAGTGGTGTCCAAACTTTTTTCAAAGAGGGCCAGGTTTGATGAAGTGAAGGGCCAACCAAAGTTGTTGGTGGGCTGGATTAGGTCTCTGAAACAGACTTTATACTGTCTTTATACTGTTTAGGATAGGATGGTTATAAATAGCTTTTCTTAAGTTTTTTTTTTTAAAAACTGGGATACAATGAACAAAACATGGAACTATGCAAATGTTCATGGAATGGCACAGTGCAATTACCTTCTGTGCTTTACTAGTTCAATAAAGCTGCAGACCTAAACACACTGAGGAATAAGCCCCATTCAGCATAGTGGGACTTACTTCCTAGCAAATGTGCAAGATTGCTTTGCATGTATAGAATGAGTATTTTCAAATGTCAGGTGTATCTGTTCAAAACTGAGAATGGGCTCCTTGTTTTAAATCCTAAAGAATATTGCATGGTTATTTGGGCCTTGAGCTGGTAATCTGCATTTTCAGGTTTAGAACTCTGCATTGTTGATGACTTAATACTGGAGGCAGTGACCATTTCACATGGGGTTCCATTCCTGGCCCCTGTGCTCCCCACCCGTGTTCCACCCCGTTCTGCTCCTGTTCTCCCGTGTTGGTGACTGGATGTCAGTTGGATGCACCTAAAATGGTTACTGTCAGTACTTAATATTTAACTTTGGCTTTTAGAATGAAAACTGGAATATGTTATATAATTTAAGCAGGGGGAAAGTATACTAAGCCATAGTGTTAGGAGTGTTTGAAGGTTAGATTGGTAGTAGCGTATTGTTGTTCCTTCCTGCTTATATCATGTTAAATGCACTTTATTTTGTTTTCCCTTTGGAACAACCCTGGAGGCAGGTTCACAGATTGAGACCTGAGGCTGAGCGAGAGATTTTAGTTTTTTGTCTGTTGCTATGATATAAAAGAGGGAGAAACAAAAGCAATATGGCACATACGTAGTAAAACTCTTCCTTGATTATATCAGTTCAGGGTGCACATGGTTGATTGCATGTTCTATCACTTCTAGGCAACACAACTATCTCCCTGAATACAGTAAATGAGCCCATCAGGGGAAAATGATGAAATGGTATTATTTTCAGTGGCACACACACTTTTCTGTGTGAGGGGAATTCTTTAGGTGTTGAAATATTCAAGCATGGAGGTCATCTGCCTGCGGTAAAGTAGTAACATCCAGTAAGGTGCTATGTGTTATTTCTGTAGCTTTAAATTGGCTCAGTGAGTCAGTAGATGTAGAACTTGAATACAAATGTTCCAGAGCCTACTGAAACTTATGTAGGCTTTGCCAAAAGAATGGTCTTAGTATTTGACCACTATGACTATATTTCTTCAGCCTCAGATGATCCGTTTGAAAATGAAGCTAAAGCTTAATGATGTGCAATTTGTAGCAGTTTCTGATAGAGTGAAGGATTTCCAACAGAAGAGAAAGTTTGTCAGCAAACACCCAGGCAATCCTGCTCTGAGCTTCCTTGTAATCCTTTCTGTGCTTCTTTAGCCTTTTTGGCTCACATAGGCTTGCACCCGGTTTCCTACCCAACCTGTTGCTTATGTTACTTCTCCCTCCAACTCAGTTCGGGAATCCAGGGAACCTCCTGTGTTGGAGTCCTCCAATAATAATAATAATAAAAAAAAATGGAGCAGGTCCTGGATTTGTCTGAACCATTGATGAAAACGGAGGCATGATTGGGGATTTTGCAATTTAAATGCAGAAATTCTGGTTTCCTTAACTCACCAAATGTCCTTCTCCTTTTCCCTTAGGAAAACCAGCAGCAATCGGGAGTAAGAAGGTACTTATTATCAAGGCTTAAGGTGCTCCTTTCAGCCCATGCTTGCGTAGAGGAGCTCAGATGGGAGTAAAGTCCACATGGAGGTATGGAAGAGGATCAGGGACTGGCATTGAGAAGATGGTCAGTTGGAATTCATGTTGCCTTATCTGCCTGGTGGTGATCACCATGGCTGGATTTTCGTTGGCTCGGCCATCATACAATTTAGTTGGTGAAGACACCACTTTGGAACCTGAAGGTGAGTCACTGTTGTTGTTGTTTGTTTGTTTCAAGTTTTTTTTTTTTTGAATGGGGTCATTAATTTCCAAGGAAGTTCAGGCTCTGTATAAATAACCATGTACCACCAGCACCAAGGTGATGTCATCACTTGTGTGACTTGTGGAAACTCTTCCACACAGGAACTTAGTTTTCTGTCACCTGTGTTGTTACCATTTACTGCTCTATTGGACCCAACAGAAGAATGATGCTGTGGCTAATTCCAGGTATGACTATTTTAGCTACAGTGCTAAGGGAGAAAATGTGGCTATGGACAAAATACAGGAGGATGTATTGGTAACATATATGTAACTACCATGTTGGTTATACAGTAGTGTGAACCCCTAGAACAAGTATTTTCAAAGCTTTCCTCCTTAGAACTCTCAAGTAAGCTACTACTATTTTAAGAAAGTTAAGATTGCGATTCTGTACACATTTAACTGGGAGAAAAGCCACTGAAAACTGGGATTTACTGCTGAATAGACATTTATAGGTTTGCACTGTTTCTTGGTTGGTTAAGGAGATGTGTACATCTTTGCAAAATAGGGAGCTTAATTCATTGTTTGACAACTTAAGCCTACAAATAACGTCATGAATTTTGTTTGAGCTAAGCTTTGATTTCTGAAAGGTCATCATCTCCTGTACTAAGTCTTAAAACATGACATCAGTAACATGAAAAAAGACTGTAAGGGGCTCCCACTGGGGTATCCATCGTCAAATAAGGCTTTAGTCATTTCTCAAGAGGAATGAGGCCTTCTAAACCATAGTATTTAACAGCAGTCTGTTGGGATTCAGTCCAAAATTTCATGCTGAGCTATTTCAGAGCAAAAAAGGCAACATTGTGCATAAAGATTGCTTCTCTTGTCTGAAGAAACAACAACCCCTTTCTGTTTGTTCATTGTAATTTTGTCCACAGGTAGTCTATTGAAAAGAGATGCATAGCTCAAAAATGGCCACAAAAGCCATTTTATTACCACTTATCATTAATTGGGGGTGACCTTTAGCTGTCTCTTGAACCACATGCAGCACAATTAATGTTTATATATCTTAATTTACTTGACAGAGCAATGCCATGTTTATTGGACTCATAGATGTCTACATCACTAGATTTGCATTAGCATTTATTACTATCTACGCACCTGCTAAGGATTTCTCTGTTGCATTTCCTTTCATCCCAATTATTATCGGCTCATGAAGGTGTAGTACTGGCATCTTTTGTGTCATTGGGGGGTGGAGAATCTGTGGATACCATCCCCAGAAAGATGCAGTGTCTAAAGGTAGGTTTTAGGGCTGTGGAGGTACTGCCAAAAGGTGCACCCCAGAATTTGGGAAGCTGTCCTAAAGACTTGTGAATATTCAAAGATGGCAACTCTTGGATAGCACCGAGTTGATAAATGGTGCATGTGGAGGGAATCCTTGGTGGCCCCCCAAAACAGACATATGGAGCCACATTTAGTCCATGAGTAGCGTGTTGTGTTGGGCTGTTAATGGAAAAATGGACCCTTTTTTGTGGGTATGTTTGGTTCTTGCTAGTTTTCTAGCGACTTTTCCCCTTATTGTTTCTAAGCCGCAGAAAAATCCTGCGGTGCAAACGCTACAGGGGGTGTTCTGAAATCCAAACAAAATCTGCATGCCGGTGCATGCCAAAGAAAACACAGAAGAATGACAACACTTCAAATTGCTATTGTGTCTTGTACAAATGAGGGTTTTTGCAGCCGTAATCGTTTGGAACTCTCCTCTGGAGCTGATATTCGTTTAGGGACATCCAGACTCCCAAGTTCCTCAAACTGTGGTATTTTTGGAATTTTAAGATGATGTTTTTGATTACAGCGTATGTATTGGGAGTAAGAAAGTTTGCATTATGCTGAATGGAATAGAGGGGCCCTGTGCTCTATCCCCCCCACCTTCTGCGCCTCACAGTAAGGGGCCTAGTGCATTCTTAATATAGTTGCTGTTATCTTGTAATACAATGAGCTAACACATTTATATTAACTGAACTGTCAAAACAATCTCATCAGTCTAATGTTCATGAAACGTGTCCTCTCCCAGATGCTTTGTTGAGGCGATTTGGCCTCTGTATATCATATAAGACTAGGGCTTGCTTCCTCCCTCTCCCACCCCTCTCCTCCATCTGTTGGAATGCATAATTGATTCTGTTTCTTTTTGCTTACTCATTTGTATATGAAATTATGCCTTCCTAGAGATACCCAGAAATTGAGAATCAGTTTATTTACATTGGTGATCCAGTTGAATTATGCATTTCTAGGGGGAAAAAATCTTAATGAAGTGTAGTGATAGTGCAGCCTGTCTTCAGCCGAGCCCACTAGAGATGGCTTTTTGGATTGGGTGAGATTAAAAGAGGCAGGACTCATGACATGTTTAAGGCATGCACCTGCGGCTTGCTTGCTTGCTGCCTTGGGAATGCATCCAACTAAAGCCCTGCTGTTTTAAGGGCAGCTGAATATCTTATTGGTCCTCTATTCCCTCCACAGAGGCCTTCCAGACCTTGTTGGACTCCAACTCCCATCAGCCCCAGCCAGCGTTCATGAGAGGAATTCAGGGATCAGGGATGAAGCCGTAGCATAATATGAAGAACAACTATTCCTGTATCATGATGTTACTATGCTGTTCATTTTCCCTCCTCCACTACCAGCAGTCACTACTGCCATCAGTATAGACTAGAATAGTGGAGGGGGGGGAGTTGGAATGAAAAGGTGTCTAGCAATATTAAGAGGTCATTTTGGGAGAAGGTTCTGGGAGGGTAGAAACAGAATGGAAAAACAATGCATTTTCCATCTTGCTTCTGATAAATCACCAACATGTGTTCAAGATTTTCTCTGCAACCATGAGGGCTAGCAGCCTGCTATACTTGTTTTCCAAAGAAAGTTTAAGGTTGTGTGTGCTTCTTGGTTTATGTTCAGTAATTTGCTTTGCTGGCTGTTTCCTATTCTAAGCCCCCTGATCATAGGCTTAAAGTGGCAGGGATGTTTCTACAGCACAGCACAGAATGTTGTAGTAAAGGAAGAATCCACTCTTTGGGGTCATCATAGTAGTTATTCGTTCTTTTTAGGGGTGGGGGTTATCTTCTGATTAGCTCTTTGAAGGGAGTGTGCATTTTAAAAGCATCTTGCTTCTGGACTAGATATTCACTGTACAGAATCTGGATCTTATCAGCATGTGGCATTATTGAAAAACAACCAATTTTTTTTCCTGCGGCAGAAATGTCGTTTACATATATGAAACAATTTCAGATGTGAGAACACTGGAGAATTACTAGCAGAGAGAAAACAGGCTTCCAAACCTAATGGCATAATAAGAACTTTCATGTGGCAGAAGAGATGCAGGAGTGTGGGATGATAATGGAATTCAAACGCCATAATTTGCTCAGCTCCTTTTGCAAACACTACTTTTTTACGCTGTTGTCTTTTTTTCAATGATACATTCTGCAGAGAGAGAGAAATGCTTATTCTCTGGGGAGGTCTAAAGACCCCATAGCATCCCCCCTAAGCCTTACTACTTGAGTCAAGAATAGAATGTAAGACACTTCATGTGACTGTAAAGGAATTATTTAGTGAATTGGGTTAACATCAGAATCCAGCACATACTTACTTAGAAGCAACTCCCACTGTGTAAAATGGGGCTTACTCCCAGGAAAGTTTGCCTGGGACTTCTTCTAAAAATGTGAGTGTAAGATCGGATTAAATTTGGATTAACCTCATCTAACAAAATTATTATAAAATGATTTTTAAACTACAAATAAATTGAACATATTATTTTATTTAAAGAGAAAGTTCTCAGAACACCACATAAATATTATAGCATCTTAATACTTAACTGGTGAGCACACAGTCATATCCTCTGAGCATCTCTACTCCAAAGTAAGACCCATTGAGTTCAGTGAGATGAAGCTTACTCCCAAGGAAGCGGGTATAGTAGCTTTTCTCCCCTTCGTTTACTACACTTGGGTCACATCCATATCATACATTTAAAGCACATTTATACCACCCTAACAGCCAAAAGAATGCTGGGAACTGTAGTTTGTTACGGGTGCTGAGGGTTGTGAGGTTGTTAAGGGTGCTGAGAGTTGTTAGGGGACTCCTCACAGAGCTACAATTTCTAGGACCCTTAAAGAACTACAGTTCCCAGGATTCTTTCAGGGATGCCTGTACAGTGTGGTTGTGACTACAGTGCGCCTCATTTACAGAATATTTATGAAGTCCTAAAGCTATTACAACAATTGAACATTAACACATTTCAGGGACTCTTTGGTGTTTGTGGTACTACAGTACTCCTGGAAGAGCATCTTTGAGGTGCACCTTCATGTAGGCTGCCTTCTTATTTCAGATATTTCTCCTAAAATTCAAGGACAGACTTCTATGAACTTCCAAGCATGGATTTTTAAATGAAGCAACACCATTTATGAAAGAATATACCTAGCAGACTCTCGTGAGTCCCGTTGGGTCTTCTGTCTTGGCACATCTTCAGGGACGCTTGGCATTTAGAGTATCTGATTGAATATGTGCTTTCATTCAAGAATGATGAATTACTAACAATTCAGTTAATTTGATTAGTAAGGTAAAGGTAAAGGTACCCCTGCCCGTACGGGCCAGTCTTGACAGACTCTAGGGTTGTGCGCCCATCTCACTTAAGAGGCCGAGGGCCAGCGCTGTCCGGAGAACACTTCCGGGTCACGTGGCCAGCGTGACAAAGCTGCATCTGGCAAGCCAGCGCAGCACACGGAAACGCCGTTTACCTTCCCGCCAGTAAGCGGTCCCTATTTATCTACTTGCACCCGAGGGTGCTTTCGAACTGCTAGGTTGGCAGGCGCTGGGACCGAGCAACGGGAGCGCACCCCGCCGCGGGGATTCGAACTGCCGACCTTTCAATCGGCAAGCCCTAGGCACTGAGGCTTTTACCCACAGTGCCACCAAACCCACTATATGGCATTATTTTGATGGGAACATTTTCAAGGTGGTTAAGTAA